GGTTAGATGTGACGTCAAGAGTTTGCGCTGAACGGGCAGGTTGTAGTTTGGCGACGAATGCGAGAGTAAAGTATTTTGGTCTGGTTCTATCAAGAAATTGAAGCTGGAGCAAGAGGAATGTTTAGCAAATGTAATCACTTCAAAGATTGTGGCGCTACTCCCCACGGGCTCTGTTAGCGGCAAAGGAGATGGCTAAAGCTAGGCTAACTGCTAACGACTCACTCAGGCACATTACAAACGTCACAGTAAACTCAGATCCAATGGTTTCGATCTGCAAAAGGAGTTCATTTTTCATAATTCCTTTTTTATTCATTACACCCCCTTGTCATTTGATCAGTTTTGGCACGAGGTTTGTAAGTATGAGTATTATTTTAGGGTGTGGTGCGTAAGGAGCGGAGTCGGAGGCGGTGTGTCAAACAGCGGTGACAAACGTACACGTTTTAATGCCATAAAACAGCCCGTGTTAACAAAACTCCTCACACAACCAAAAACATTTCTCTCTAGGTAAGAAACCTGTGCAACGGTCCAACTCGTCCCCCCGGAACCCCACCAGAGTAACCACAGTTCCATGGGTGAATTATGTAAACCACCACAAGGGAATATATAAATCAGACATATCAATTTGACACCAGATTATATTAGGAACCCATAACATGCATCCCCTGTGAACATTTTGAGACAAGATACATTTACAAATAAGAAGTTATGCAAAAAAACAAAAGCTCAAACACAAAAAAATGTGCCTGGGTTTGATCGAAGATTAAACTATTCTTCAATATAATATTCTGTCTCTCAGATTATTGCTCTGTCCTTGCTGAGGTCTGGGTAAAGGCACCGAGTGTCTTTTTCATTCCTTTGAATATTTCTATCTCCAACAATGTTCACGGTCAGTCAGCTGCATTTCTCATTTATGCACTTTTGTATTGGGAAAAAATACAGGTTTTTAATAACTACTGCAGAGATTTGCTTACATAGAGACAGACACAGGAGGGTGCTATGTTAGTTTGACCTGTATATCTGAATAAACATTTTATATAAAAGTATGTTATAAAATGTCTATGGGAGGAATTTCTACTTCCGGGTGCATCATCAAGCCTATTGGTCCTCCCACTTGTCAATCACTCTGGTGATACGTGCTCGTCCAATAAGACCAGAGAGTTTTGTTCAATAAAAATTTGAGAAAATAAGGGGACATATTAAACAGGTCTACAACTATCCAGAATTGTGTTTCTCTTGTGAACCTGTAACATACCAGAACCCAAAGTCCACATCCTTTTTGCCAAACCAGGACACCCATCACCTTTGATCACAAAATTATCTATGAACGTCTTAACACACGTGGCCATGACAGGTCTGTGTTGCATCTTTTGTTTGTTGGAAAATGGCTGCAGATCAGAGGCGCCTCGGGTCTACCTGAGAGTGGTGGAGTTTGGGGCAAAGACATTACTTTGTCTCAGATTGATCGCAGCACTTGTATGACAGAACTGCCATTTCATTTGAGCTGATGGCTGTTTTTCCCCCTGGAGGAGCAGAGGCTGTAATGACATCTCAGACACCCAGGCAGTGCTCCGTGCGTCTTTGCAGCCACGGGGATTGAAAAGCGTTGGACACGGTATGAGCAAATATTCTATGGCTGTAGATTTGCCAAGAACATGGAAGTGAAGAGAGAGCATAACCTTAAAGGAGCAGTGTGTAAACATGTGGCCAAAAGTGGTACTGCAGCCTCTCCCACTCTCCATGACTCAGGTTGCCAGATATGCAGACGAATCCAGCTGGGACCATAACAGCTGAATTGACAAGAGTTTTGTCAACAACAAATCTATAACCAACACCTTTTTCACAAAGATAGAAATCCTGGTTTTATTCCTTGTTTTGTCGTTAATGATTTGAGAATCATAACAAGACCTTTTTTAGTTCTGTGCCACATGGTACTTTACCAGTGAGATTAGCTCCACGCGGTGAGTTCTGGCGCCCGGATCACGGAGTTTCTGATTGGTGAAACGGTGGAGGGCGGGACATCGAAATGAAAACAATAACAAGATTTAGGGGCTGGAAAAGTAATTTAGAGACTCAAAAATCTCTGAACTACTGTTATCAGTTAAAGAAGTATTGGAAAAGACCATGGTTGAACAATTCCTTTTGACAGATTAAGGCCCTTTAATGATGACATGACATAAAAATCTAACATATTGCTACTTAAATTGAACTTCTGGATGCATTACAAAAAAATGCTTTAAGAAAGGCCATTTGCGGATGCAGATTGTGGACTTGATATTTTCCATTGTTTATTAAAAGTAGATGACAAGACATCACAAACTCTCTGCGAACTGAAAAGTGTAAAACTATTGATAATTCCTTTGTTGTGAAGCCACTTTAACTGAGCAGCGCCGGGTCATTGAGTTGAATTAACGGTGAAATAAATTGCGAGCGGTTGTGGAACAGTCTGTGTAGGTGTAACTCTGAGGACTGAGGTTAGACTTATGAGAAAAGGAGTTTGAATGTATAATAAAGAGGTCTAATTTGTAGTCTCTGTGGGCTCCCGTTCCACATACAGTAGTGAAAGTGACACAAAGTGAAACTCTGTCTCACGTTTTAAAATTAACACTTTGTGAAAACATAATGAGGCGTCTCTACAAGTGCAGAGAATGAGTAAAGCTCAGTAGAAAAAGTACACTCTGTACTGTACACATTTACCACGATACACAGTTAGAGCAGCAATATGTAAGATTTACACGTCATTTCACCATTAAAGGGCCCTAATCTGTCATCATTACAGTGCCCTAATCTGTCATCATTAAAGGGCCCTAATCTGTCATCATTACAGTGCCCTAATCTGTCATCATTAAAGGGCCCTAATCTGTCATCATTACAGTGCCCTAATCTGTCATCATTAAAGGGCCCTAATCTGTCATCATTAAAGTGCCCTAATCTGTCATCATTAAAGGGCCCCAATCTGTCATCATTAAAGTGCCCTAATCTGTCATCATTAAAGGGCCCCAATCTGTCATCATTAAAGGGCCCCAATCTGTCATCATTAAAGGGCCCTAATCTGTCGCCATTAAAGGGCCCCAATCTGTCATCATTAAAGGGCCCCAATCTGTCATCATTAAAGTGCCCTAATTTGTCATCATTAAAGGGCCCTAATCTGTCATTATTAAAGGGCCCCAATCTGTCATCATTTAAGGGCCCTAATCTGTCATTAAAGTGCCCTAATCTGTCATAATTAATGGGCCCCAATCTGTCATCATTAAAGTGCCCTAATCTGTCATCATTAAAGGGCCCTAATCTGTCGTCATTAAAGGGCCCCAATCTGTCATCATTAAAGGGCCCTAATCTGTCGTCATTAAAGGGCCCTAATCTGTTGTCATTAAAGGGCCCTAATCTGTCATCATTAAAGTGCCCTAATCTGTCATCATTAAAGGGCTCCAATCTGTCATCATTAAAGGGCCCCAATCTGTCATCATTAAAGTGCCCTAATCTGTCATCATTACAGTGCCCTAATCTGTCATCATTAAAGGGCCCTAATCTGTCATCATTACAGTGCCCTAATCTGTCATAATTAAAGGGCCCTAATCTGTCATCATTAAAGAGCCCTAATCTGTCATAATTAAAGGGCCCTAATCTATCATTATTAATGGGCCCTAATCTGTCATCATTAAAGGGCCCTAATCTGTCATAATTAAAGGGCCCTAATCTGTCATCATTAAAGAGCCCTAATCTGTCATCATTAAAGGGCCCTAATCTGTCGTCATTAAAGGGCCCCAATCTGTCATCATTAAAGGGCCCTAATCTGTCGTCATTAAAGGGCCCTAATCTGTTGTCATTAAAGGGCCCTAATCTGTCATCATTAAAGTGCCCTAATCTGTCATCATTAAAGGGCTCCAATCTGTCATCATTAAAGGGCCCCAATCTGTCATCATTAAAGTGCCCTAATCTGTCATCATTAAAGTGCCCCAATCTGTCATCATTACAGTGCCCTAATCTGTCATCATTAAAGTGCCCTAATCTGTCATAATTAAAAGGCCCTAATCTGTCATAATTAAAGGGCCCTAATCTGTCATCATTAAAGAGCCCTAATCTGTCATAATTAAAGGGCCCTAATCTGTCATCATTAAAGAGCCGTAATCTGTCGTTATTAAAGGGCCCTAATCTGTCATCATTAAAGGGCCCCAATCTGTCATCATTAAAGGGCCCTAATCTATCATTATTAAAGGGCCCTAATCAGTCATAATTAAAGGGCCCTAATCTATCATTATTAATGGGCCCTAATCTGTCATCATTAAAGGGCCCTAATCTGTCATAATTAAAGAGCCCTAATCTGTCGTTATTAAAGGGCCCTAATCTGTCATCATTAAAGGGCCCTAATCTATCATAATAATAAACTGCTCCTTTCCAATACTTCTTCAACTGATAACAGAACTCACCGTGTGGAGCTAATCTCACTGGTAAAGTACCATGTGGCGCAGAACTAAAAAAGGTCTCGTTATGATTCTCAAATCATTAACGACAAAACAAGGAATAAAACCAGGATTTCTATCTTTGTGAAAAAGATGTTGGTTATAGATTTGTTGTTGACAAAACTCTTGTCTATTCAGCTGTTATGGTCCCAGCTGGATTCGTCTGCATATCTGGCAACCTGAGTCAGGGAGAGTGGGAGAGGCTGCAGTACCACTTTTGGCCACATGTTTACAGACTGCTCCTTTAAATGTGACAGAATGACACACTTGTTGACTTATTGAAGGTGATTGAATAATGAAACAGCTATCCTAAATGTCACAATAGTAAAACAGAATGTAATCTTCCAAAGTTTCAGCTCAAAATAAAAAGTAGTGAAATTTAAAAAGAAAAATCAGACAAAGGAGGTCTGTTTGTTATTCCTGACTCACACCTGCTCCTGGCAACTCGGATTAGACGCAGCAGATAATGATTTACACATGGATAATCGTATTAATTGTTTTCTAATCCATGTGCCTGGGTAATCTCACCGTTGCACCGCACTGATGTGGAATCCTGCAGAGGTAGAACTGCAGGCTGCGAGTTTGATCGGGACCAGTTTGTGTTTTATAATAAAGAGATTAGAGTTAACGTTTTCTCTGGTGTTTTTCAGTGGAACAAAGTCCAGGTGGTTCGTTCAGAGAATTATTTGCGGAGGCTCATGTCTGCTTTGCTTCATAAACTGTCATTCCCTTCATTTCCAAAACTAGAAGATACAGTAAACGGGAAAACTTATACTTATATACTTATACCATGACAATCTTTGCACTGTATTTCTACCTCACTTTCAGAATATAAGGCATTTCTTCTTATCTCATTCTAATTGTACTGTTGTAATTTGGATATTTACAAATTTAAACATTGCCTGCCCATATCTGTCCTCCATCGATGCTGAAACCCTGGTCCACGCTTTAATATCCTCCAGACTCGACTTCTGCAACAGTCTTTTATACGGTCTTCCTTCATCTGATCCTACAGCCCTACAGTTTCTCTACAGCCCTACAGTCTCTCTACAGCCCTACAGTCCCTCTACAGCCTCTCTACAGTCCCTCTACAGCTCTACAGTCCCTCTACAGCCCTACAGTCCCTCTACAGCTCTACAGTCCCTCTACAGCCCTACAGTCTCTCTACAGCCCTACAGTCCCTCTACAGCCCTACAGTCCCTCTACAGTCCCTCTACAGCCCTACAGGTCTCTCTAAAGCCCCACAGTCTCTCTACAGCCCTACAGTCCCTCTACAGCCCTACAGTCCCTCTACAGCTCTACAGTCCCTCTACATCCCTACAGTCTCTCTACAGCCCTACAGTCCCTCAGTCTCTCTACAGCCCTACAGTCCCTCTACAGCCCTACAGTCTCTCTACAGCCCTACAGTCTCTTTACAGCCCTACAGTCTCTCTACAGCCCTACAGTCCCTCTAGAGCCCTACAGTCTCTCTACAGCCCTACAGTCTCTCTAAAGCCCTACAGTCCCTCTACAGTCTCTCTACAGCCCTACAGTCCCTTTACAGCCCCTCTACAGCCCTACAGTCTCTCTACAGCCCTACAGTCTCTCTACAGCCCTACAGTCTCTCTACAGCCCTACAGTCCCTCTACAGTCTCTCTACAGCCCTACAGTCCCTCTACAGTCTCTCTACAGCCCTAAAGGTCTCTCTAAAGCCCCACAGTCTCTCTACAGCCCTACAGTCCCTCAACAGCCCTACAGTCTCTCTACAGCCCTACAGTCTCTCTACAGCCCTACAGTCTGTCTACAGCCCTACAGTCCCTCTACAGTCTCTCTACAGCCCTACAGTCTCTCTACAGCCCTACAGTCCCTCTACAGTCTCTCTACAGCCCTACAGTCTCTATACAACCCTACAGTCCCTCTACAGCCCTACAGTCTCTATACAACCCTACAGGCTCTCTACAGCCCTATACAGTCCCTCTACAGCCCTACAGTCTCTCTACAGCCCTACAGTCTCTCTACAGCCCTACAGTCCCTCTACAGCCCTACAGTCTCTCTACAGCCCTACAGTCTCTCTACAGCCCTACAGTCCCTCTACAGCCCTACAGTCCCTCTACAGCCCTACAGTCTCTCTACAGCCCTACAGTCTCTCTACAGCCCTACAGTCCCTCTACTGCCCTACAGTCTCTCTACAGCCCTACAGTCTCTCTACAGCCCTACAGTCCCTCAGTCTCTCTACTGCCTTACAGTCTCTCTACAGCCCTACAGTCTCTCTACAGCCCTACAGTCCCTCTACAGCCCTACAGTCCCTCTACACCCTACAGTCCCTCTACAGCCCTACAGTCCCTCAGTCCCTCTACTGCCCTACAGTCTCTCTACAGCCCTACAGTCCTTCAGTCCCTCTACAGCCCTACAGTCCCTCTACGGCCCTACAGTCTCTCTACAGCCCTACAGTCCCTCTACAACCCTACAGTCCCTCTACACCCTACAGTCCCTCTACAGCCCTACAGTCCCTCTACAACCCTACAGTCCCTCTACACCCTACAGTCCCTCTACAGCCCTACAGTCCCTCTACAGCCCTACAGTCCCTCTACAGCCCTACAGTCCCTCTACAGCCCTACAGTCCCTCTACAGCCCTACAGTCCCTCTACAGCCCTACAGTCTCTCTACAGCCCTACAGTTCTCTCTACAGCCCTACACCAGTCCCTCTACAGCCCTACAGTCCCTCTACAGCCCTACAGTCCCTCTACAACCCTACAGTCCCTCTACAGCCCTACAGTCCCTCTACAGCCCTACAGTCCCTCTACAGCCCTACAGTCCCTCTACAGCCCTACAGTCCCTCTACAGCCCTACAGTCCCTCTACAGCCCTACTGTCCCTCTACAGCCCTACAGTCCCTCTACAGCCCTACTGTCCCTCTACAGCCCTACTGTCCCTCTACAGCCCTACAGTCTCTCTACAGCCCTACAGTCTCTCTACAGCCCTTCAGTCTCTCTACAGTCCATCTACAGCCCTACAGTCTCTATACAACCCTACAGTCCCTCTACAACCCTACAGTCCCTCTACAGCCCTTCAGTCCCTCTACAACCCTACAGTTCCTCTACAGCCCTACAGTCTCTCTACAGTCCCTCTACAGCCCTACAGTCTCTATACAACCCTACAGTTTCTCTACAGTCCATCTACAGCCTCTATACAACCCTACAGTCTCTCTACAGCCCTTCAGTCCCTCTACAACCCTACAGTCCCTCTACAGCCCTACAGTCCCTCTACAGGCCTACAGTCCCTCTACAGCCCTACAGTCCCTCAGTCCCTCTACTGCCCTACAGTCTCTCTACAGCCCTACAGTCCTTCAGTCCCTCTACAGCCCTACAGTCCCTCTACGGCCCTACAGTCTCTCTACAGCCCTACAGTCCCTCTACAACCCTACAGTCCCTCTACAGCCCTACAGTCCCTCTACAGCCCTACAGTCCCTCTACAACCCTACAGTCCCTCTACAGCCCTACAGTCCCTCTACAGCCCTACAGTCCCTCTACAGCCCTACAGTCCCTCTACAGCCCTACAGTCTCTCTACAGCCCTACAGTCTCTCTACAGCCCTACAATCTCTCTACAGCCCTACAGTCCCTCTACAGCCCTACAGTCCCTCTACAGCCCTACAGTCCCTCTACAGCCCTACAGTCCCTCTACAGCCCTACAGTCCCTCTACAGCCCTACAGTCCCTCTACAACCCTACAGTCCCTCTACAGCCCTACTGTCCCTCTACAGCCCTACAGTCCCTCTACAGCCCTACTGTCCCTCTACAGCCCTACAGTCTCTCTACAGCCCTTCAGTCCCTCTACAACCCTACAGTTCCTCTACAGCCCTACAGTTTCTCTACTGTCCCTCTACAGCCCTACAATCTCTCTACAGCCCTACTGTCCCTCTACAGCCCTACAGTCTCTCTACAGCCCTACAGTCCCTCTACAGCCCTACAGTCTCTCTACAGCCCTACAGTCCCTCTACAGCCCTACAGTCTCTCTACAGCCCTACTGTCCCTCTACAGCCCTACAGTCTCTCTACAGCCCTACAGTCTCTCTACAGCCCTACAGTCCCTCTACAGCCCTACAGTCTCTCTACAGCCCTACAGTCTCTCTACAGCTCCTCCCATTGACGCCTGCCACACATGCCAATAGCCACTATTTGAATCTTTCATGTAATTATTGTCATTTTAACGTACATAATTACATCCTGAACAGACTGTATTTTTAACCTTTAATCTGTCTGTGCCAAATGTGACATGTACATTTCTCCGCTGTGAGATCCATAAACTCTATCTTATCTTATATACTTACTGTATTACCCTAAATCTTCCCTCCCGCCTAAATCACAATCCTTTGAAGTAAATCCGATCATACTTCTTTCTCTTTACTAACCTTTACCGCAGTAACTTATCACACCACTTGATCTCACATTCCAAAAGACTGTAGCGTCTGAATTGCAGGAACAGCACGGCCTGTTAAGTCTTCTGAAGTCAGCAGTAAAACATTCGCTGCGTCGGCTCCGCGGCTAAATAGCTTTGCACAGTGACCCAGTCCAGATGCTAACTATGCTAAGTATGCTACACCAGTGACCCATAGACACCGACAGCTGTTCACTGTGTCTGCAGCTCCCCGTTGTTCTATAAAGAGTGCGTTAAGAGCCCTTTGTTATTTGTCATTAGCTAAAGTTGCTCTGAGAAACGTTTTGCAGGAGGGTCAGCTACTTGGTCACATTAAAGGTCCTCTGTGAGATTTTTACAGTTGGTTCAAATGATAAAACATGTTAGCCGATAACAAATGTGATCTTTTTAAGAATATTGACCGCCATCATGTTTTTTAATTGTTGTCACAGGCTCAAGAGTTTGACTTATGAATGTCTATGAGGCTTACACCTGTACATTAGCAGCAGTATGTTAGCATCTGTATATTAGCAGCAGTATGTTTGCATCTGTACATTAGCAGCAGTATGTTAGCATCTGTACATCAGCAGCAGTATGTTTACATCTGTATATTAGCAGCTGTATGTTAGCATCTGTACATTAGCAGCAGTATGTTTGCATCTGTATATTAGCAGCTGTATGTTAGCATCTGTACATTAGCAGCAGTATGTTACACCTGTACATTAGCAGCAGTATGTTTACATCTGTACATTAGCAGCAGTATGTTTACATCTGTACATTAGCAGCAGTATGTTTACATCTGTACATTAGCAGCAGTATGTTTACACCTGTACATTAGCAGCAGTATGTTTACATCTGTACATTAACAGCAGTATGTTACACCTGTACATTAGCAGCAGTATGTTTACATCTGTACATTAACAGCAGTATGTTAGCATCTGTACATTAGCAGCAGTATGTTTACATCTGTACATTAGCAGCAGTATGTTTACATCTGTACATTAGCAGCAGTATGTTACACCTGTACATTAGCAGCAGTATGTTTACATCTGTACATCAGCAGCAGTATGTTACACCTGTACATTAGCAGCAGTATGTTTACATCTGTACATTAGCAGCAGTATGTACAGCATATGATCTTAATGCCAGAGGGGAGTAAAAACTACACATTGTACCTTTAAATCACATTATTATTTATTTATTCACTTCTGGTATTTGTTAAAAGTCACATTTTGTCCATATTTTCCAACAACAAATAAAAAAGTTGTGCTAACATGCACAACAGGAAAAAAAATAAAAAAATAAACAAAAATAATTGCCTCAAATGGAGAAGGAAGAAGAAAACTTAAACACAAATTATCTTCAAACAACCAGAAAAAGATCAGAATAAAAATTGCCAGACAGAATCAAAAACACAGACTAAAGACAGACACATACAATCATAAATATTTTAAAACAAGACAGCACAAAAAAAACCCAATTCATTTTCTTAAGAAATGATATAGTGGTTAGCTTTACTTCCTCAAAGAAAGGGAAAGACGTGGGCAGGTCTGCGGTTCTCTCGTTCGTACCATTTGTGGCGTGTTGCAAAATACATTTCCTCTTAATGCATTCAAGTGTTTTTTTTGTTTTTTTTTTAAAGATGCGCTGGGAAACGGCTGCAGGTCCTAAGTAGCTCTAAAACAGTTGGTGTTTTGTGCTTAACAATTTTTATTATTTATATTGCTTTTTGAGATGTTGCTGCAGTTCAGTGTTCATGGTTTTACACTGGTCCAGACCAGAGCAGAGAGGATTCATGGTTTTACACTGGTCCAGACCAGAGCAGAGAGGATTCATGGTTTTACACTGGTCCAGACCAGAGCAGAGAGGATTCATGGTCTGAGCCAGGCATATCAGCCAAAAATCCACTGGAGGAATGCTGACTTTTTGAATTTAGCATTTTACTTTGGACTAGAGCAGAGAGAATGGTCCGAACCAAGTGGGTACTCCACCTTTTGACCTCTCCTGCTCCACCCAGAGGCTACTCCACCTCTGCTGCTGAGAGCTGAAGGACTGCTGCTGATTATTACTATTTTTAACTTTTTAGAATGATCAATTTTATTTTTATTTTTGCTGCTAGTGGACACCTGAATTTCTCCGACGGGGATCAGTATCTATCTATCTATAGGTTTTTGTGTACATCTCTCATTGCTCAAAACCCTGCAGACTCCACAGTCAAGCAGAAATGCATTGTTCCACTCTCTTCATACTGTCAGACAGATTGTGCTTCTTTTTGAGCTGATTTGACTCGCTCTCTCTGTTCTCCGTGCATGTTCCAAAATGTCTAACCCTGTTGTGTGCTCTGAACCTGCGTAACACCCGGGTATTTCGTCACATTATTCCTCCTGCTCCCTCCGACACATCACCACCAGAGCGGCCCATAACCGTATCGCCGCTCTGCCACCTACAGTGTAATTGACTCTTGTGGTCTCCTTTGAGAAGTCCACTCCTCTTCAGTCTATACTCTCTCTCCAATTACTGTCCTCCTCTCCCCCACTGTCTGTACTCAGCAGTCAGGGGAGGGTTCCAAAGAGGAGGGGGGTTAGCGGTTTTGACACTGTAATGTGAACTGACCGGGCACACTTCCACATTTTTGCGCCACCGTGTGAATTACCGTGCAGATCGTCTGTTCAGGTGTCCCCGGTTTTGACACGTTGTAGTACATTGTTGGCTTAAATCAATTAGTCCAAGCTCCGAGGGGCGGCAAGGTTAGCACACAGGGGGCAGGGGTGTATCAGATTTGCAGTGTTTAAAGCAGATTAGGGGCTTTCACTTCTTGTGCGAGGTGGGGTTTTTTTGGACAGAGCTCAAGTAGGCAACAATGGGGCCGTGGCGGTCAGTGGCAGTCTGTCAAAGATAATGGGCGTCAGTGAGACAGCTGTGTTTGCAGGAGAGAAAGGATTTAGCACAAATCCCTCAGTGCACATTTGTCACTGTTCAGTAATGGGCCACTGCTGGATTTTGTTCACCATAGTTTTGCTTTCGGACTTCATAACAGCGACCCTTGTTATGGCAGCTTTTGTAGGAGGATTTCTTGATCTATTTTTGAAGAAGTCAAGTGTCAACTTGTACAAAAAACTTAAGACATTTAAATAACATATACATATACATGCACACATATACCACATATGTATATATTATTTATATCAGGGGTCACCAACCTTTTTGAAACCAAGAGCTACTTCTTGGGTACTGATTAATGCGAAGGGCTACCAGTTTGTTACACACTTAAATAAATTGCCAGATATGGCCAATTTGCTCAATTTACCTTTAATTCTATGTTTTTATTAATAATTAATGATATTTATTTTGTGGAAAAACTTTTATATTTTCTCTAAGTGCACATTTTTCAAATTTAACAAATGATCACTTCTAAGACAGTCCCATTTAATCGCAATTAATCACATTTTAATCGCATATAAATATTTGACCTGAGAACAGTGAGAAGTAATTTTTTTCACATGGATTTTTAGTTTACCATTGAATAATGACTGAATACATGAGGCTTAAGCAACACATGTTAATATGGAGTTTAAGGGATAACTTCTAAACATCAAATAACGTTTCTGTCATTGCCTCCACACTCTGACGACAACATATGCTCCTCCTCCTCCTCCTCACTCTGACGACAACATATGCTCCTCCTCCTCCTCCTCCTCACACTGACGACAACATACTCTTTTTAAGCCCAAAATCCACTGCACACGCTGTGAGCACTAAAGCTGGGCATGCGCTGTTTGCTAAAGCTTTTATAATACGTTTTTGATGTGTGCATTCGGAGTAAACATCAGCATTAGCAGCTCACACACCTGTGTCTCGCTCCTCCTTCTCCTTCTCCTCCTCCTCCGCTCACACAGGAGTCACTGCTCCTCCTCCTCACACACAGAGTCCATCGCTCCATACACAGCGCTTATTCCCGTCTAATTTACTCGAATTTAAAGTTGGTCTCTGCTTGTAATAATGTACTTTTGAACAAGAAAAAGTCTCGGAGCTCCGGTTGGTGCGTCAGTTCAATTGGTCCGTCTGAAACTTATTCAGTGAGGAATGTTCCGCGGTGCAAAAATACATACGATTAAAATGCGTAATTTTTTTAACGCGCTTTTTTGTGTGTAATTAATTAATCTTTATTAACTTGTTAAAGTCCCGGCTCTAGTTTATATGCCATTTGTAAGTTGCATGTAAGTATGATTTAAACAAGAATAGCACTGGTAAGTGCTGCCATTTGAGCTATTTTTAGAACAGGCCAGCGGGCGACTCATCTGGTCCTTGCGGGCGACCTGGTGCCCGCGGGCACCGCGTTGGTGACCCCTGATTTATATTCTACTTGAGTGAGCTGCTGATGTCATGGTGTGGATTTTTTAGATTATTGAGTTCTTGTGGATTGAGTTTGCTTCCTGTCTGTCTTGTTGAGTGTTAGCCCTGCCCTAATGTGATCCACCTGTGTTTCCTGTTAGCCCTGCCCTAATGTGATCCACCTGTGTCTCCTGTTGTTAGCCCCGCCCTAATGTGATCCACCTGTGTCTCCTGTTGTTAGCCCCGCCCTAATGTGATCCACCTGTGTCTCCTGTTGTTAGCCCCGCCCTAATGTAATCCACCTGTGTCTCCTGTTGTTAGCCCCGCCCTAATGTGATCCACCTGTGTCTCCTCTTATTAGGCCCGCCCTACTGTGATCCACCTGTGTCTCCTGTTGTTAG